TACAACATGAGCTCCATGATAGCACAGCCTGTTGGTAGCCACACAGGAAGACATCATACATCCACAGTGCATGTTGGTTAGAGCAGAGGTCTGCAGCAAGTTTAACTGGGATTCGTCTGAGGACAATTCTTGACCACATGCAGAAGGGAGGAAGATGAAGGAAAGCGAAAGGAAACTAAGGAGATTAAAAGTTGTGTGTGTGTGTGTATGGGTGGTGGAGGAGGAGGTGGTAGACAAAATAAAACAAGAATAAGCTGAGAATATCATCAATTGTTACCAAGGAGTTCCATTTAGTCTCAGTAGCAACTAGCACATGTAATCAGCTTTCCATATCTGTGAGTTCTATATCCATAGATTCACAACAGCCATGGATAAAATACACTAAAAATAAACCAAGTGTGTCTATACTAAATATGTTCTTGTCATTATTTTCTATGCAAGACAAGGTAAGAATTATTTACACAGCATTTACATTTTATTAGATAAATAATTTGGAGATGAATTAAGCATGTGGGAGGATTGCACAAAGGATACTCATGGCTTTAATGTTAACACAACAACTCTGTATACCTTTTCTCATCTAATGCTATAGACAGGGAAGAAAATGGTTTTGTGTATACACAAACATACAGAATTGAGCATGATCAGAGAGCAATTGTGAGAGAGTATAAGAGTCAGCTGGAGGTACACAGGCCCTGAGCTCTGCTCTTTCTAGAGCTCTGGTATAGCAAAGAGGCACATACATGTCATGAGATGTTTCAGTGCAAGGAAATGACCCTGGAAAATAGCCTTGCTCAGATATTAGAAGGCAAAAAATCTATAGAATAATGGATCTCAAATCTGGCTTACTTGAGAAATGTCTGCATCCGTGGCCACCTCTAAATACATTGATTCCCTTAGTCTCTGAGACTAACATTTGAATTATATTTTCTTCTTCCTGGAGGTGTAACTAGGGGCCTCACCCATGTTTAGCATGAACTCTACTCATCCTCACCCTCTGGGCGGGGATATTTTAAATAGTTTCTCACATGCCTTCATAAGAAGCCCAGGTAATCACCACCATGAAGGAGGTTCTTCCTGGGATTTGGATCTTCTGGAAGGACTTTTCATGTCCTCATCTTCCCAGATTAAGAGAACTACCTCATGTTGACACAAGCCCTGACTTTGGCACCTTCAACATTAACATACACAGGTTTCATGTATACTTTGAAAGACCTGATAGCTGTCCTAATTCACGTGAAAGGGCAAGCTTCTGCCAATGGGTGCACAATATAGAAAACACCCAGCTCAACACCAGGGCATTGTCCTTGGGAGTTCCACTGTCCTAGCTGCTTTGGCAAAATTCCACTGCCCAGATTATTCTCTGGCAGTAGTTAAATCTCGAATGCTTGTTCTGAATGGATTACCTCCAAACTCCAAGCAAAAATGCTGTATAGTTTAGAAAAGACCCATTAAGCATAATCCCAGATCAGCATGCATGGATCAGAAATGGATTACTCTCCTATGAAAAAGGAAGCAAACAAACAATAACAACAGCAACAACAAAACAAACCATTGTATTGGCTTTTGCCACTGCTTGAAACAAATTATCACAAGTACAGACACTCATCTATGGCATCCCTCAAAATACCCATGTGAGCCAGGAAACAAAAACCCACAGAGGAATTAAAGAAAATCAAGAGGTGCCTGTGACCCATGAAGAAAGTATGACTGGTTGATGGCTGCTGCTGAAATGGCTTAATAGATGCCAGTTGACCATTCCCAGACCCGGGCATCCAGCTGAATTTGGGCATTGATTCAGACAGAGAACACCTAGATACTTGTCATATCTAATCTAACGGAAAGTCACAGACCATTTTTAACCAAACAGCACATAATTGTAATGGAATGATTCCAGCCAAGAGGGCCCATTTGTAATAATGAATTCAAATCAGATTCATAGGAGCTATAATTCAACCATAAAGAATAACTCCTTCACTTTTCATATCATCTCTCTTCCCAAAAAAAGGCAAAATAACACAATTATTTTAATTCAAATAATTAGTTTTACTTTTCAAGCAGCCCTATGAAGTAGTTGCAGGGATGACAGTATCATCTCACTTATGTACAATGAGTTTCCATCTATACTGAAACTCAGGGTCTTTTTTGACTCATCACTTCTGAAGGTCCCTCAGTACAACCAAAGGCCATCACACAAAACTGATCTCCCACAGGAAACAACTGTCATGTGAATTGGCGAACTTCTCATAGGAAAATCAGAGGGTCTACCTAGGCATCTGGGTCTCTGCTCGTTGCCTGACTTGGTTCAAGAATTAGGAACAGACTGGAGGTCATGTGAACTGGGGTAGTCACCTTGGAGAGTGTCTTCTAATGTTTCTAGGTGTGGGTATCATTTGATTCATTAATACATATGCAACACTAAATTCCCAAGCACTAAATTGCCAACCAACTCTTTTAAGGGAACTTAGACAATTAATTCACAAAGAGCTGTAAGGCTGTGTAGAGAGCTCAGTGGCAAAACTTGTTCCTAGCATGAATAAGGCTGTGGGTTTGATTGCTCAGCATTGCAAAACAATAAACAAAATGAGTAATGCATTCTAAAGGGCAAAAATACTACCAAATAACACATGATAGATTTTACCCCCCCCCAGGCCAAGGCTATGGGCTGTCACTTATTGGGAATATGGCCTCTCTGTGGAAGAACTGAGGACCAAGCTTTACTGATAAGAAAACACAGCTGCTATAGATCAGATTGGAAGGAAAAGAAAAAGAGAGAAGTTGAGAGCCACAGAAATCTGCACAGGGCATTCAAGTTATTCCAAGAAATGCTAAGATGGTTACAAAGAGATTAGGCTGTTCTAACATAGACGATGGTAAGAATTAATGATGAAGGGATGAAATGAAGTAACATGAGTAACAAACAGCAAAGAGTTTTGGGGAGGTGCCCTATAAAAATAGAGCAATGAAAGAGAACACTCTGTGAGGTTAAAAAAAAAAGCGAAGGAGACACCTGGAGGGTGAGACGTGGACATGGGGATAGATCTGTATACACAGAGAAAATGTGCAGAAGAGAGGAGAGGCAAATTCAAAACTGGTAATGTGCTTACTTTTAACATCAGCTACAACAATAGTCAGGTAACCAGAAGCAGTCATTGCTGAACACATACGTTGTTGTTTTGCACAAAGCATGAAAAGCGACTATTCAGCTTTTCCTTTTTTCATTCCCTTTCCCATTACCAAGCCCAGCTGTTAAACATAAGAATTGAAGATCATGAAAACAGGCCAGCAGCTAATAAAAAAAACGGTAGATGGAAGCCAGCCCTCTGCTGGTAGATTGACCTTACTGCATCCCAGAAGGCGAAAGCCCAAGTTTCTAAGTTTCTGGTTTAATTTTTAGGGCCAAGAGGAGGAGAGCATGTTTTGTAAATTTATTGGTGATATCCCCCTTGTTTATAAACTCTTTGCCTCTAATAAGGGAAGAAAAAGAGGTAGGTGTGTGGCACCTTTCCCACTACTAGTGTGTAAGCTTATTTCCTGGGCTCATATACACTGTAGTTATATATTGTTGGCACATGTAAACCACCAGTCCTCTGAAAATCATATCTCAAATCCTCCTCCAAATCATATCTCAGAGATCAGACTTGGAACCTTTCTTGAAGCAACCAAGTAAAGATAATGCACTCTCATATGTTACAAGCTAAGGGATGCTCACAGAACCAGAAGCACTTGCAACCAATACTGTCTGGAAGGGACATTTCTGTTCTCATTTCTAGGTCTGCACAGGTCCAGAATATAGGGCTTTAGCTGAAAAGAAGGTTCACCTAAGAAACACCCAAGGTAGCAAGTATCCAAGTTTAACCCCAGGGTTCACCTAAGTAACAGCAATGTCTCAGAGGCGCCTTTCCTCGGAAGAGGCTTGAGTCTGGGCTGGAAGAGCACACAAGGAAAAGCACAGACAACAGGAAGAAGGGAACCCCACCCTCCATCTCTCCTTGCAGAAGCCAGGCACTCTGGCTGCAGAATCTGGGTCAGGATGTTTTATTTTCACCATAACCATCAAAGTCATAGGCAGGGCAAATGCATTCACCCTGTGTACACTGTGAGATGTAGTTAAGCTGGGATGTCCCCGAATCTGTCTCCTAGGACCAGAACTGCCTCATTAAAGGGATAAAAGATGATATCTGCTGAGCTGGTGGAAAGTGGTGGCTGCATTTTTATTAAAGTCTCTGCTGCAGCGGGCCCAGTCCCCAAAGGTTCATATTCCAAGCATCTCCACCCCTCTGCCTGGAGCATGGAAGTGATTCTCTGTAACTCATTAAGCTAAAACAAAAAGCGTTTCTATTGTGCTTCTCACACAGGAATGATGTCGCTGCATAAATGCTACATGTTTCCTCTTCTTGGCCCCAGAACACAAAAATACAAAGGCCCCATAATTTACATCAGGGCCCGAGTACACCTCATAGGTTTAGTTTGAGTGGCTATGTCTTCACCAGACTCATAAAAGGTAGTGAACAGCCACGAGAAATCTAGAGTCTTTGTGAGATCACACCCTCCCCCACTCCCACACAAACACACACACAACACACACTTCTGCCAAAGATAGTTAGCTGGCTATTCTGATGGCAATCCTATGTCATCACATCCTCCTTGCCTGGAAGAAAAATCCAAAGGTATTTAGTTAACCAAGCAGTGTTTATGTGCCAGTGCCCACAAGTCTCATCCGGTGTCCACACCATGGGGCCATGGCCCCATGAACACATGGAGTTCCAAGTGTAGACTTCAACAGTCCCTGTAAAATTGCAGACCAAAAGACAAAGCCATCCAAGAAAAAAATTGTATCAGCAAGCACATGATGCAAGGGGCCACGTCTTGGGCCTGCAAAAGGCCTCTCATGTGCTCCAATGCCCCTCTTTCTCGGGCCTTCTTTTCTCTTTCTTGCCCCCCTCCCCTTGAAGCCATGTGCGATGGGTTCAGTCCCCAGATGAAGGAAGGCTCCCTACCTGAGGGTGGCGCTCTCCCCCTGCCTGACCGTCACGTTGTCCATAGCTTTGGGGAAGGTGGCATCTCCACTGCGCACCGGCACTCCTGTGGGTACAAGGAACAGCAGCCTGAGAGACACGACCACGAGGCACTTCCAGGGCAGGAACAGGTACCCACAGACCCCCATCCTTGTCAGTCACAACTTCCCAGAACTCCCGTAGCAGCACGGTCCTTGTCCCCTGCCCTCTCAAAACAGCAGGAAGTGTTGTGGGGCCAAAAGCAGAGAGGGAGAGAGAGCAAGTCAGGAGCTGGGTGCAGGAGAAGGAGAAGCTGAGTCCAGGCTCTCCGGAGCCTAATAATTCTTCCTCGGCTCCAGCCTCAGCTTTCCAGCCTAGCAGAACCAGATGCCCCCTCCTGCATCCAAAAAAGAGCTTTCTTGACGCTCCCTGGGGCGGAGGGAGCCCGCGGGGGAGAGAGAGCACGAAAGAAGGAGCAGGAACGAAGGTCACAGATTGTGCGTTCTCTGCCTCTCTCGTTGAAGCTACTTTAAGATTCAGTTGGGCGCGTTCTGCAGAGGTCTGGCATCAAAAGTTTATAACCCAAAGAAGGCAAGTGTCTCTGACAGAAAGGAGATGTCATAAAATAGCTCCTGCTTCAAGGAGAGGAGAAAATGTTTTATTAGATCACACACATGTATGGATAGAGTTAGAAAACAGCTCCAAGTCTCGCATCCGGACCCCAAGGCGATAAAAAGTTGCACACGGAGACCCGCAGCCTGATAGCCCGGATCCTCCGCTCTGAAGCTGTTCTCCCTGAAGCCCGATGGGCGACTCCCGCCAGCCCGGCCCTCGCCAGCCCGCGGAGCACCGCGGCACAGGCTCTGGGCGCTGGGAGCTGAGCGGACTGTGGCCCCCGCCTCCTCCAGGGACGCTGCACGGGACGCGGGGACGCGCGGACGCCACGCTCAGCGGCCGCCCCCGGCCTCCGCGCCGCCTTCCTCCGGGGAGCAGCCCCTAAGCGCGCGGGCTCTGATCGCCAGGGTTGTCATGGCAGCAGCTGCATCCCTGACCGCCACTTTCTCCGGGTGTCGACTTGGAGCGATCAGGCTAGCAGGCGACAAGGACTGCTCGCTCATCCCGGCGGGTGCGGGGCGCGGACGCCCACCTTAACCCCCAACGCGCCGGGACCAACGCACCCACCGAGCCGAGCCGGGATCCCTAAGGGAATGAGCCAGGCACCTCAAGGGGCTTAGGTCTCTCCTTGTACGGGAGCAATCTGAGGAATTGCTGAGTCCCTTTGGCTGCCTCCCCTGTTATGGGTGGGAGGGCTGGAGAAGGAGTTCTGGGGAAGGCAACAAATTGAAAACTGACACTATCACCTTCCTTCCATGATGCCACACAGAAGTTGTCAGACCCCGCCCTGGAGAACTGAACTGCCTTTGCCACTTTAGGAACCTGAGCCAATCTGAATGCCCACCACTCTGCATCTCTCCATCCAGAGTGTAGTTCTAAGGCACAGCTTTCCTAGGCCTGTGCAAAAAGCTGGAATAAGCTTCCTGCTCTGATGACCTACCTAGAACTCGATGTCCATCCCTTCCTTGTCTGCTCCCTGGCTGACAACTCTGAATTTCTTCTTACAAGGCAACATGCAAAATAGGCCCCATTATCTGTGCATCTTATTGTAGTGAAAAGGAAGAGCTGGGAAAATCATGAGGAGATGCTAAAAAGTAGTAGGACTGATCTTCATAAAATCCATCTATGGCTTTATGATCACAGGAGAGAGCACCATAATAGTGTCAGGAGGGGACTCTGGGATACAGTGTTCTTAGAGGCCAATCTCTCTGTTGCTCTGGGCTTAGATCCATCTCCTTCAGTTTAAACCCAAGAGCGCCAGCTTTCCTTGGGTCTGCCATTATTCTTGCTCCTGCTCTGCCTGGCAGAAACCTCTCCTCACTGCGTGCCTCTCACGCCTGTATCCTAATTTAATGGTTGCTATGTGCATCTGCTCTACTGTATTTTTTTTCTCGAAGCCTTTTGTTAAATTAGGTAGGGCTCTGCACAATTGGCAAAATGAAATGTAATTCAAAAATAAGCATCAAGCTCTTCGTGTTTATTACTTTAGTTGCTGAAGGATACAAAGGCATCCTACCTGCTTCCATTTCCAAGGGACTAAGCAAGAATTAATATTGCCCCAGTCCCACCTGTAAAGATGCTTAGCTCCCCGTACATCTTTTAGCCTTAAATTTTTTAATTAGAACAACTTATCTTGGGGAAAGTATGTATCACTAGTTTTACCAGCTATAGAGAAAACCGTATCAGGAGAGAAGGCATTGGACAGGAGTGGGAGACAAAAGACTCCTCCATGAGTCATGGTCTATAAGGCTGAGAGAAGCAATGGTGCAGACAAGGAAGGGTTAGGTGATGCCAGGAGCACTGCCAGTACTTGGGGGTCACCCAGGATCCACTAGCCCCTGTGCCCAAGAAAGCTAAAGAAATGCCCATTGGTTTTAATGATATGTTTCTCTTCCAAATAACAAATCCGAGTTTTCTGTGCACACAGAAGCCTGTGGACCTTGTGATGTTAGATCCAGGATGAACCACTGGAAAGGCTCTCTTATGAGTTGCACTCCATATAGGGCTGGACTTCTTCCATCACAACTTGTGTCTTGAATGTGGGTGAGGATACAGTGGAGTCTGCTCAGGAGGCAGCTGTGAGGTCATTCCAGTTGCTCAGAGATGGAGTACTCAGAATTTCTCAAAGACCCTCTGGTCTAATTTCTCATCAAAAAGTGAGGGTCAGGCCATTGTTACACTAACTAGGGAAAGGTGGCTTGAGCCAGGAAGAGTTATTGGAGTCTTTGACAATGGAGAAAAAAATGCACAAGAATCCAGGTGGGAAAAGGATATTTGAAGCCAGCAAAGAAGCAGCGATAAGCTGAAGTGAGGACAAATGTCCCCACTAACACACACTGAGTCTTATGCTTGTGAAGGAACAAGTCAAAAATGCACTCTTTACCAGGTTAGCTTTCTCCTAGTAAGACCATCTGAGGACCCAAAGACTAAGGGACTGAATCTATACTGTCGTGTTACAAAGGTAACTACTTTAGTCTCAGTGACAGAAGAAGTGATCTGAATTCACAGACTTGTGAGTCAGGGCACGGATTTCAAAGGTCTTTCTGTATATTACTCTTAATCTGTCATTCTACAGCATTGGGGGTAGGTTCAGTGGCCCATTTATGTGTAAGACATTCTATGGACTAGTAGAGTGTAGGGCTGAAACATAAGCTTAAATGGAAAGAAGAAACAGAGTTGAGGTTTACAGTTGAGGTTTACATGTTTAAATACTTTTTGCCAGGAATATTTTGTGAAAAGCTTTGGCCAATGACAATGATAGGATGCATGCATTTATATGTAAAGAAAAATTATCATATAATTGGAAGACTGGCTTTGAAATTCTGTTTTTTGTTCAAATACATAGTCCTCATGTCTCCATCTGTGCAATTCACACCAAATAGTACATATTTCATCCAAAGGGTAGTGAGCAAGAATGGGCTAAGTGTATCCAGAACTGTGCTTGATGAGAAGGGAGAACATTACCAGCACACAGACCCTTAAAGAAAGTGTATATTATTATAGTCCCCAAGAAAAGGGACACATTTCCCCAGTGTCATGTCCAGGGTTGGTCTGGAGATAAAGTAAGAAGAAAATTTGGCAATGGGCTTTATTATGGTTTCCATGGGAGGGGTTGGGCAAGGAAGGATAGGGAAACCGGTATGTTTAGGAGGGGGTGATATTTTGGCAGACTATGTGGGTGATCTCAAGAGATCCTCAGCTTGGTCCTGGCTTGAGGTAAGAAATAGCACATGTTCTATGAGGATTAGACAAAGAAAGTGGTTCTTCAATTTAGGAATAAGGCAATCCTAAGAGATACAGTATCTCCAGGAATACCAGCGGTTCATTTAATACATGTGTGAAGGAGTTGCAGTTAATGCTTGGCAGGCTTGGAAACAACATCAACATACTGTATGGCTCTATAGCGTAACACTTATCTTCATGTAGTAACTGTGACATGGAGTAAGGTGTGAGGGCAATGTACAAAGGAGATCTTCAACTGGCCTACACCTTACACAGTTTTCTTACTTTTGACAATTTGTAACAGAAATGCAAAAAGATAGTTCCAGATATCAGGGACTGTCCTGAGCACTAAGCAAGGAGATCACTGGCTATCTGGAAAGAAATGGTTCTGAACAATTGGAGAAAAGGATTACTGGCAGAAGAGATTTTTGAGAGAAACAGGGAAAAGAGAAGCAGAAAAAAGAAAGTCTGTGAAGAGTCCTGGTTACGAACTCCAATGACAGGTGGCAACTTGAATCAGCAGGTGGTATCTGCAGCCTACAGATGGAATGGTCCTGAGAAGCTGGGAATGAGCAAGAATCATCCAGAGAAGAAAAGGCTGTCACGACCTGATGATGTTGGTTAAACTGGATGACATGAGACAGTGAGCTGGCTTACCCACTGTTTTCCTACTTAGGTGTAAACTGTGTTTGGTGGTAGAAGCTCAGGCAGATCTTGGAAAAAGCAACCTAGTGGAAGTGTGTCCTTGACTCATTCCGCAGAAAGGACAGCCAGTCAACAAAAGTGGAGGTGAAGACTGTTTGTCAGGCGACTTCTTCTCAGAACCTAAACAAGACCAGACTATTGATACTTAAAGGCATCAATGTCCTGCTTCAACTGCTGCATTCCTGTGTGCATGTGTGCTTGCATGTATGCGTGTGTGTATGTTTATAAGTGGTATTACAGGCTGTGCAGACTGCCTCTTGTCCTTGATGAATCAATCACACAGCAGGAGATAACCAAGGCAAATGAAAAACAATTTTAAAAATGACAAGAACCCTCAACTCTGGAGGAAGTACATAGGGTTACAATTCGGTAGGCAGGATATATGTCTACTACACAGGAATCCCTCGATTTGAACCCAGTATCACATGATCTGGGCCTGGTGACACATGCCTATGATCCCAGCATGAGGGAAGTGGAAGAAGGAAAATTGGAAACTCAGGTTCATTCTCTGCTACATAGTGAGTTTGAGACCAGCCTGAGCTGCATGAGACCATGTCTCAATTTTTTTTTCTTTTGAAAAACCCTCCAGCGCTATTTTCAATTTGTTCACACATTAAGCCATTTACTAATTCTGTAAACATGATTTCATGTCTATTTTATGGTGGACAGTATTTAAGGGTCTGGAGATTCAGTAGTCCATGAATAACATAAATATTTTTATGTGCTTTTCTGCTGGGGCATGAATAAGTGTTGAGGTGGGGAAAAAAGATTATGAAAAATACGTAAACAGACATATTTAGAATGGGTGATGTGCTATTTAAAAAGTGTTATGGGAGTTGATGGGATGGAAAAGATGATAGTTAGGTAGTTAGGGAAAGCATCTTTGAAGAGGTAACATTGGAAATGAGACCTTATTGGCTATTGGATCTAGCCAATTAGAGCCAAGAAAATGGCTACCATGAAGGCAAATGGCAGAAGAGCTTACAAGGAAGGCAGATAGCAGGAGAGTACCTGATTTCAGACACCAGGTATAAGGATTTCATTCTAAGTGCAGTGCAATGACTTCAGAGACTTTCAGAAGGCAAGTACCAGGGATCTGTGAGATAAAAGTTAGCAAATCTTCCTGACCATGGTGTGGAGAATGGATTCCAGGAGAACCCAGAAAGTATTCGAAGTGGAACAGCAATCATGGTAGAAGCACTGGGTGCACACCAAATGGAAAAGGCAATGGCA